AATCGGGAGCCCTCACGGCATCGGTTTGCAGCTTCTCCAAGCGAAGGGGGGGGGGTCCCACGGGGGGGGCGCGTCACCAAAAATGGCAGGGGGGGAAGGTTGGGTTAGGGGGGGAAGGAGGCCGGATCCGTGTCTGCTTGTTCCAAACGCTTCTCGGCAGAAAGCCGAGGCGAATATGAATAACAACATGAATATTCGAATGTAATCAGAACCCTTAGCCGCTATGAGCGGATAATGAGCGAGGAGGGAAGGAGCCTCGGGATGTTTCGTTGCTGTGCTGCCATAGAGCAGCGTGTGGCTGATGCACTCAAATATGAAATGGGTGGGAAGAAGGGAAATAGGAGCCTGGTTTGGGGGTAGGGGAGTTCGTGGCCGCTCTTTTGTGCAATCCAGTTCGAAGTCGGCGTCACACCAATTGGGGGGATTCGAGTTCGAAACAGCTGCTTTGACAGTTTATCGTGAAACCGCAGTAGTACGAAGCATTTTTCAGGTTACACACACAGGATGCTTTCTGAGCAGGATTGGCCTGCTCGATGTCACCCACGCCGGCCCTATCATTGCCTACGACAACCCGGGTGCAATGCGGGCGGGCAGTGCCTCGGCTGCCTTTGTGGGAATGTGCGAAGGCGCTCCCAAGTGTGTTGTCGTGCAGGTAAACTCACAACCCTTTGAATTTCATGCGAAGGTGGCTGTGTGTTGCGGCACGGCAAGTCCATCATGTATGATGCAGCATAGGGGGCAACAGAGAACATCGACAGCAGAAGACTCATGTGACCTGTTTTCTTGCACATTCTTTTCTCGACTATTGATGTCTTGGCAGTTCACCCCACTTGTGCCGGAGTCTTGCTTTTAACCTTGCTTGGTGCAGCCTATCCTCAGAGTGGAAATCCCTAAGCTCTGTGCCCGAAGCCGATGTTTCTTCAACCTACACCCTGCTCCTCCGCCATTGAGAGAAGACCTATAAGCCTCTACATGCTGAAGCCCGAAAGGAGTAGGAAGGCGTACATCGACATCTCCCACACCCTGGTAGCAAATACAACCATGGTCTGACAGAAAGATGTGGCCCAAAGTGACCGAACTATGCCGGAAAACAAGGAGGGGAGGATTCTTTTTTCTTCGCCTGTCACCCTCGGAGCACTCAGCCAAAATGCGTGAAACAAGGTCAGAGCGCATGGCGGGGAAGGGGCAAGATGGAGTAGAGTGGGAAGTTGTGATCTCCCGCCCAAGATGCCTTTGAGTGCTGACGCCAGGCACTTCCCCAAGCAAACGTCAGAACTATTGCTTGAGCTGCCATTTAAGCCCTGTGCTGAACGCTGTGAAAGGTGCCTTCGTCCTGCCCTACTCGAACAATTTGCCGAATCCTGAGACTGAGAGCAGTGAAGGGGCTTCATGGCCAAGCGGTCTGCACTGTAACGGGTTGCCGGGTTACCCTTGCCTGGATTGTGACTTTCTAGTGGAGCTGTTGGCATCTGGACCCCTGCCCGACACCACTGGCGCATGAGACAAGACTTATTTATGACTTGGAGGCCTTTGAAGCATTCTGGCCACAGTTGCACAAGCACCGCCGTGAGTCCACCTAGCTTGGACGTTCGAGGATTAATCCGCAAGCAGTACGTGGCGAGCGGGATGCAAGGCGCTTGAGTTCCATGGAGGCGCTGCGGTGCGGGGCGGGTTCCACTCATCATCAAGTGTAAGTTTGCGGAATGTCCACCCTGTCGGCTTTCAATTCCGCGGACTCGTGTGCATCCTTTTCACGCATGTCTGTCTCGATTCGAAAGATGGCTTCAGGATGGCGCTGATGGAGTATTGGAGTTTAGCTTCGCGTCGCCCTCAGAAGTAGGAGTGGTCGGGACTGAGGCGCTGAGCAGGTTAAAATCTAGAGCGCCCGTGTTCGGGGTTACAATGGGTTACGCATGCTTCAGGATCCGTGGCTCCAATTCTGTATGTTGCGGTCCTGGATTGAGCTAAAATATGGCGCATGAGAGAAGTTAAGCCAAAGGCATTGATTGACATAAGTTTCTGGGCCCCACGGCATTGGCTGGTAGAGAGCTGCTTCTGGACTTGGCATACTATGTATACTGCAGTGCCAAGTGCACAAGACGTGATTCGCCCTTCCCATGGTAGCTTCCAGATGTGCGGGCAGGACAAGCCAAGCCAGCTCGTAACACTGCACGATGTCGACGATGTGGACACTGGCCACAGGGATTAGGATGCCGAGTTCAGGTTTTGGATGTGGCGTGAGCCAAGGTTCCATGCATGTTTAGACGTCCTGGGATGATGTAGATGGTCTCCAAGCGGCCTCGCCTCCGAACGGAAGTTGGGGGGTGCGGTGGTCCTTAGCATGCAGTGAAAGATTGCAGCTTTGAGGCTAGCAGGGTCCAGTTTCTACGGTTCGGCTTATTTGCCGAAACCCGGAGATCATCTTGGATGCTGCAAAGCCGAAGTTGGCCCCGTGAGGAAGTTTTCTTGATGGGGGACGTGGAGTTGACTGAGGACTGCTTTCCCGCTTCATGTCTTCGGGCCCTAACTCGTGGAGGAGCTGTCAGGTGCGGCATGGACTCAGGATTTGTTCCGGCCGGCTTTGGGCCGAAGTTTCGGCGCATTTTCAGTGTCTGCTTCCCTAAAGCCTGATTTTTCTAAACCAACAGTAGCGGAGCTCAAAGAGGTAAAATCGCAGAAAGCCTAATCCTATGAATTCCATGGAGACATCGGACTTCCATGGGGGTTGTTCAACATTCTCGCACCTTCGCCCCTTCGAGCAGCGCTTACATTTGGCAAAGGCCGTCAAGAGCGAACCTCATGGTCCTGGGTTCCCTTAGGGATAGTTAAGGTTATTTAAGGGGGGAACCTAGAAAGGGTGGTATAGAGGGGGGGTAGTAGGGGACACCCATGAACATGGGTGCGGTTTGGGAGCCGAGCCTGTCAGGATCATGTTGGACCGGTGGACATCCAGGTGGGACCCCAAGAATTCTCAGGGTTAAGGCCTGTGAAACAGTGCTCATTTAATTGCTCATACAAAGAACGGCTGAATCATGATTCCGGGTTTTTCAGTGTGAGCCTTAGACCCTACCCCTCAACTCCCTAAACCCTAAACCCTAAACCCGCGAAGCAGAGGGTGTTCAGGAAGTTCATTGAAGCTCTCCGCAAGGCCTTCGAATAGCTCAATGGTTGGCGGCTCAGCGTTGCCTGTGTGCCCGGTGCTTCCACGGAAGCCTTGTGGGGAGGATGGAGGGCACCCTGAGCTTTGCCCTAAACCCTAAACCCTAAACCCTAAACCCTAAACCCTAAACCCTAAACCCTAAACCCTAAACCCTAAACCCTAAACCCTAAACCCTAAACCCTAAACCCTAAACCCTCAGAGTGTCAAAGCCAACGTGCGCGAGTTCTGAGGAGCCAGATGATCACAGCTGTGGGCCCAATGAGGTTTCCACGGGCCCTTCCGGCGGCTCAGAGATAATGTCCTACAGTGGTCCTACAGGATAATCCAGGATCTTCAGAATGTCAGAATGCTTGTCACAATGCTTCAGCACGCAGACTTCAGATTCGTGCCGCCGAAGGAAGTAAGGGCCCCGCACTTTTCATGTAACGAGGATCGTACTTAGCTTAGCTTAAGCCCTTTCCGATGTGAGCCGAAGGTTCAGCGTTCTTCCTATGTGGTTCTACACTCTCAAAGGATAGGGTGAAGACCCACCATGCTGTGGTCATTTTGAATAGATTGCTGCTGGGACTCCTTGCGAACATGGGGGGGCTTGTGCCTAGGAGGGCTTGTTGGCAGGAGGTTCCAGAGGACTTTGCGCAGTTGAGGTGTTGTCACCAGAGAGTCGCTCAGAAGCTGCATGCAAGAAATGCTCAAGCGCACGGTGTCAATATGCCCTTCCAAACAGCAAGTGTGCTGCAGCCACTGGGGCTCTATGAAGGCTGGTTAAGGGAGGAGAAAATCCGGATTTTTGTCATATCCTGCAAGTGGCTCGTCCCGATGCTTCAGTCCTTGCAGTGGCTTTTGAGGCGCCGAGGGATCCGGTTTGGTCTGCGGGCTTCATTTGCAGGGTCTTTGCGCGTCGCCCCTTGCACAAGTCTCTGGAAGCGCAAAGGAGAAGGGGATGAGGGGTTTGCTCCATGATGCCAAGTCTGTCTGCAAACACAGGGGTACCAACGTCTTGTTGCATGTCGTAGCGTGTTGTAGCAGTTGTGGCATGTTTGAGCATTGATAGGCTCCAACCAAAAGCAGGATTTTAGTTTTGCACTCTCCTGAACTGGCAACTCGCCCTGTTTATGCTCAGTACGCCAGTTTGGCCTTCGCCATCACGCCGGCTGGTGGCCGTAGCCCCTTGCTCCGATGGCGCGGCTTCCATATGTTGTGGCCGCAGTACCGTTGGACCTTGGTTTTTTGTGTATAGCCAGTTTAGAGTTTACACCCCATTGATAAAAACCCGTGACATTTACCGGTGCGCTGCCCGAAATGTTCATGCCAAGGAAACTATAGGAGACCTCGCCTGACCCTCCTCCCCAACACGTAGCAGGATCCTCTGTGCAAACTTGTGGTCGCAATGTGGACCCCGCCTTACAAACCTCCGGACAAAATTGAGCTGTGTTGAAAGCCGCCCTTCAACCCTCAACCCTAAACCCTCAACCCTTAACCCTAAACCCTAAACCCTAAACGCCATCCTAAGGCTTCCGTCCTGGCACCCCAGGAGGATGGTACCTGCAATTTGCGAGTCGCGCAACTTGCAGGGATTTGGTTCTGCCCAGGATGACGCATTCCACAACTTTAGGGTCTAGGTCGTTGCAGCTGCAGACCTTTCTACAACTTTGGGGTCTAGGTTCGGTGCAGCTGCAGACCTTGTGTCGATAACACCGACATGTGGTCCTTTTCTTGCCTGGGTTTCCGTCTGTGGTAAGCCGATTGTCCACAATCAGAAGCAGCGTCGGATCTCTACGGTTGTCACTGCAGCCAGTTTTTACGTCTTTCTGGAACACGTTCGGTTCCAGCCAAGGATACGATGGACCCTCCGTATTGTGCTGAGAGGCCAGAGATTTCAGTCGCAAGATCGCACGACTTCAGGAAGCTTACACTATACAACGAAATAGAATTACATGTTTATGGTGTAGTCGACTATAGCTTATAAACGATATATTTCTATATATATATATACATATCTATCATAGTATATATATATATATCTCTAATAGTAATATCAGGTGTCTCAGCATGCCGAAGTCTTCAGGGCTCGGACTCAGTGCTGGCACGCCTCTCCGCGATTCAATGCCCTTCGGCCGTAGTATAATATCATATGATACTGGTAAGAATCACAGTAGTAGTTTCAATGAGCAAGTAAATTTTCATATTTAGAACTCTAACTTTTTAAAGACATCAATATGAACGTAAAAAAAACAGGCAACCCCCTCGCACCAGTGCCTACGTTTTGCCGCAAAAGTTTTGTTTTCGAATCGCATTAACGAACACGTGCCAGAAGAATGCTACTTGGACTATATGGCATCGGCTGGATGATGCCGCCATGCGCGTGGGCGAAAGCACGCCTAGTGTGATTTTACTACATTGCGCTGACTACGTCATACTCAATTCGATACATGATGCTTTCAAATTAGTCAACCCACTGAAATTAATGAACCATTTCTTAGATTAATTAAACTTTTTAACTTACTACAGTAGTTAAAGCATACTTCCCAGAAAACCTGGCCAAATTGCTTGATTTAAGAGTTAATTGGATGGGCTAAAACATTTTCATTCTTTGCGTTAGCAAATGCAGTGCTTAATCTAACTAGGGTTCTTTGTTTCTTGACATAACTTAATGAAAGTAATTTCCATCGTTTGATTAGCTTTCTGTAGGGTTAAGTAAATGAGATAAGTTTGCTGTCCATTCACTGACTAAATGAAATCAATGAACTAAATGAATTGCGAAAAGTACTGATTGTGATTTCGGCTTGTGGTTCGTTGAAATTACCTTAGTGAATGTACTGTCAACGGTTGAATTAGTTTACTGAAGGGTGAAGTAAATGAATGAAACTAGTAGACCTTTAACTAAATGAATGCAATGAATTAAATTCAACCAATCACGATCCTTCAATATGCTACCTGAATTAGTTTTTTTAGTTTACTTCTTTACATGCAGGAATCAAAAACTGAGTTCGTTTCTGAGTCTAAGGGTTAAACAAATACATTGAACTAGCCAAATAACTTGAATGATGATAATCGTGAAGCTAATTAGATTATACGATGTTTCGACCCACGAATGTATACTTCTCAGGAAGCCTGATCTAATTGCTTCAGTTGAGCGTTAATTAGATGAGCTAAAATGTTGTCAACATTTTTTCATTGTGTCCCTGAAAAACACCTGTGGAAGAGGACCCGTCTGCATGGACCTCCAGAGTGTTTTTTGCTTGTTTAGGTTAAACAACACTTCAACTGATCAAACTACTGTGGATGGACAAAATCTTGCACCGCATTTCAGAAAAGTATTTTGGTGTTCCCCGTGCCCCCTTTTTAACATTGGCTGTGAAAAGCTACCGGCCAGATTTGCTCCAGTAGGGGGGGGTGGGGCTTGATGCCTCGTTTGAAGTACGCATGTACAGGTGGTGCAAGATTTCGTCCATCCACCGTACTTCAAACATCTTTGAAGGACCGTGATTTGGTTATTTTGGTTCAGTGAATTCATCTCGCGAAGGCTTTGCTTAACCCTCAAGTAAACAAAGCAAGCCACTGAAATTCTTTTAACTAAGTCTACTTCAACAAAAAGAAAACCTTAATCAAACTAAGTACCTTTTGTACCTAGTTTAGTTCATTCATCTCATTTAGCGCGAGGTCTACGATTTTAGTTCATCTACGTACCCCTTCACAAAAACAAATTAACCTGTTGAAATACGTCAAGTTCTATCGACAAAAAGTCCTTAGTCACATTAAAGAAATCAATATATATATATATATATATATATATTCTATATATATGTTTTTTTCTATAGATATTATGTACATATAGTCAAAGAAGATTTTGTCCCGAAGCCCTGAGCACAGGACAGCGTGTGTCATCATGGATCTCGTTGATGCTGCCCAGCAGGTCCTCCCTTGGAATGCAATATAGGAGCCTTAGTACTAAGAATCGTGTCGTGGGGGTTATTCTAGTGCAAGTATAAAGGGGCCCTAGGGGAATGCGAGTAGTAACTATTCCGATCGCTGCATTAGGATGTTGGCCTTACAGCCCGGAAGACCTTCGGGCATTAGTTCGGAGACAAAGAACGGGCCGGGGATAGGCATCACCCAGAACCAAGTTCGGATCAACTGTTGGATCATTAAATCAAAAGCCAACCTGGGTCAGATTGGATGAGGGGTAGCAACAACCAACATCAAGCCTTACAGAAAGACACACACACACACGACTTCCTAGCTGATTGGCTGAAACCCTCTATATAGATTGGCAAACACGTAGGGAAGGAAAGGTGAAACACGTATGGAAGGAAAGGTGTGTCTCAGGAACTTAAGAGAGAACGACGCAAAGAAAGCACAACTTTGCAATGACTTTGTAAATGGGAGATTGGGAGTCTGGTCAGTTGCCTTTTAGCACAGGGCTCGCCCACACAGTCTGCATCTAAAGCATGTGAACAGCTAGGGAAGGCTGCGTTTGATAGCAATTGGAGTTTCTGACGCTGATCATACTTGAACGTGTTCTGAAATCTGCCTGTCAGTTTAACTCAGAATCCTCACAGTGTCACTCGGAACCCTGTTTCGGGAATAGTTTGACTTGATTTGATGCGACTATCCTTTGATGCAGCTGGAACTTCCCAGTCTCACGATGGTTTCGGGTTTGGGGGCCTGGTGTTATTGCACTCTTAGAGGTTGCGCGATCTCTACAATGGTGCTAACGCCCTAAAATCAAAACCCAGAACCCTAAACCCACAATTTGTCTGCAGGGAGTTCTGGCTTCAGTCCTGTATGGGGGCACCTACGAGTTGTATAGAGTGTTTGTACAGATGATAGTCTGTCTTGTTGTTTTCTTAATGGGTTATGGGGTTTATAGGGCTTGTAGGGTGTAGTTAAGGTGTCCTGAAGCCATCCACGAGCGTACACCCAAACCCTACGGCCTAGACCGTAAATGAGTTCGGGCTCAGAGTCGAAGAGTTCAGTTTTGTCTCGCGCTTAGAGGACCCCTCGTCTCTCTTTAGGGTTGAGGGTTTCTCCGAAACTGTCGTGGCAGATCGTTGCGATGACCGGCGACTGCATGGGGGACCTGGAGGATCCACCGAACTGTGCCAACGATATCTTCGGCCTCCTGGTGCGCGCATCGCAATGTGTTGCAGTTGGTTCGGTGTGTGATTTGGACGTTGAGGATTTAGAGGGTGGGGCGCGTGACGTAATCTTCTGTTGTTGGGGTGTTAACAGAGAAGATGCAAACCTTCAAAACGCACAAAGATGTCTTGAGCCTAGTACGACCTCGTCGACGCTTCTGCGTGCACGGCTGCTATGGCAAGTGCCTGTGGTGGGATCGTGACGGGCTGCGAGGCTTGGCTTCAAAACCCGAAGTGGCGAGGACAGGGACCCTTACCGTTGCCGGAGGGGGGGGGGGGGGAAGGGATGACCTTTCCATACAGGAAATCTCACCTTCTCAGCAGGAAAAGCCAAGACAACATGCCTAACATTTCTTCGGCGGAGCTTGCCGCGATTGACATTGCACAATGCATTCAGCATCAGCTGCCCGCAAGAACTCGAGCACATCAAAGCTCCGCAGAGCCTTGTACGTTAAGCTCTACATAACGTCTGTCTGATCATCTTGCCTGAAGACCTAATTGTGGCGACCCACCTCGGCCTCAGCGGTGAGGCAAACCCCAGATCCTCATGCACCGTCCGCTCCTTGTACAACTCACAGCTGAGGAGCAGAGCGCAGCTTGGAAGCAGTTTGCTCGTAGTTGCGAATACGGAAGATGCTAATCTGACATAATGAGAGCCGGGAGTTCTGCACGGGGGTGAATCGGACATCGCAGCTACGTTACAGGCCAGGTCGCGGTGCAAGGGAGACATACATGTTTACCATGTTTTGGATCCATTCGTCTGTGCTATCTGTGCCCAAGAATGGTATTACCTTCCTGCAACGACCAGCAGTCTGCAAGGCTTTCTATGGCTGCGAAGATCTGTTCTCAGTTGCGCAAGATCTCATCGGAGCAACAGTGGCCAGGCTGAGTTTCTTGAATCCTGGACCACCCATGGCAAGGCGACGTTTTGACTTTGACCACACCGCATGTTCATACCGAATCCACTGGAGCAGCTACCAAGGGCAACTGCGACGTTGATGCATTCCTTTGCAACTCCCATGCATTTACCGTTCTTCAAAGGGGGGCATCCATCCTTTGGGTACGGTTCGCGCAAGTGTATGGTAGCATTATGTGGTTGGCAAATGTCAATCCTCCCTTGACAGGTTCTTCTCGAGATCCACCTAGACTGGTGCCAGCTCCGTTTAAGATTTATTACTGTTAAAGGCATGCGCTGCTGAGGCATTATCAATCTCGTCGATGCAATCAACGACGCAATCACCATGTCTCTGGATCGGAACCAAGGGCATTTGCAGCTGTTCTTGGCCTAGCGCGCGCTGTAAGGAAGATTCTGAGGTGGCCAAATGGTTGTTAAACCCTAAACCGTTAAGCCCTATATACACCCAAAACCCTAAATCCCTGTCGCTGCCCAAACAAGCTCTGAAGCTGCAGGACGTCAAAGGTGCGGTCGACAGTTGCCCGGCGGTGCGCCGTCCGACTGGTGTTGTTGTGTGGGCTTTAGGGCTGAGGGCCTGTTTCGGTTTAGGGTTCAGGGGCTTACGGGGTTTAGGGGTTTAGAGTTGAGGGTTTAGGCTCCGGGCCGGCCCGGTTAGGGTTCAGGGGTTTTGGGTTTTTTAGTTCCGACAAGTTATCTCAAGGATGAGAATTTACGGCCGGGCCCGAGGCTCTTCCGTTTCTGCGTCTGGTGGATGTTTTGGTCTTGGCTTGCAAGTGCCAACACGGCTGGGCACTCGTGAATGTCATTCTTCGAGGGTGCAGTTCACCCACTAGAAACCATTCCCTGGCAATCTGCAGAATCCTTGACAATAGTACACGCAGCAACGGAGATCTCGCAAATGCATCCCGCCAAAGGCAAAGGGCTGCAGCAACGCGGATCCAGGCAATATAGAAGCCCATGTCATCAACGTTTCAATACTACCAAAGCCCGATTCTGATTTTCACGGCCAGTGGCCATTCCCTTGCCCTCCCGTCCTCGTTCCCCTGCTTGTGCGAGCTTTCGCCACCTCGGGCTGAAAAGACTTTGGCATTCGGTTCTCCAATGTGCCCCCTGCCATCCTTGAGAGAGAACCTGCGGCGGTGTTAAGATCCTGCCAGCTGCCAGGAGCGAGAAGGTCTCTTCCACAAGTGGCTGCGTCAAGGCTGGGGCACATCTTGTGGAGCTGGGGGGGGGAGGGGCCTGGTCAACCGCTTCCAAATTTCTATGCAAAGGCTCTGCGGTCAAGTGTCCTTGAAACCCGAAATCGCCTGAGAAAAATCGGTGTCCTGAAGGTATCAAGCACGTGGCTAAGACTCTGAGCAATATTGAAGCCTGCAGCCCCGTTCTGCAGAACATCCGGAATGGTTTCCGTGGCGCCTGCTGAAAGGAGGCCAGAGATCTAAGCTTGAGAAGTTTGAGAGTTCTGGGGAGCCTCAACCAAGAGCCCCAAGTGCTACAGCCAGTTCTGTCAGCGTGCAGATTTAGATGCAGCGCCAGTGTAGCAGTACTGTATGATGGGATTGCTAGACTTGACGGACACATCTTTCATCTGGCAAGTTGATGCGCAGAGCTTTCAACGAATTCCTGCCCCTCGAGCTGCAATGTGCCACAGACAAAAGTGTCTCCCTCCCTCAAAGGCAAAAGACCAGCCTACAAAGAGTTGTCAGGGGCCTCAATTGATCTTCCGAACTGCGCAATGCATCAAGATCAGCAAGCCTGGCAGCGTTTAAGGCGTGATTATCTGCTGAGAGCCAAATGATGGCATCCAAAAAGTACCGTTCACTCATGGCCTTCCTCCTTAGCCCTTACAAGCGTGGAATGTCCACTCGTGTTGTGTTGCCATCAGCAACGTTATGGAAAGACTGAGTGGGCCTTTCTCCCGCTTCCCTTCATTTCCTGCGCCTTTAGAATGGAAGCTTGAACATTCATCTTGCCGTCGGACACCTCCGTGCTAAACCCCAAAGCGGCCATCGAATCTGTTGCCAAGGGAGAAAGAGAAGGGCGTTGGGTCCCAAGCTTCTGACGCATGATCTGCTGCCTTCCTGTTTTCAGAGTTTTGGGGGATAAACCTAACCCTAAGCAAAAAGGAAGGCATCGGTGCCCCTGTAAAGCTTCCATTACTACCCCGCGACCCTCGGCTAGTTAGCGTAGTGTTTCGCCTCCAACTGCGCTGCTCCGTCTAAGTCTGAGTGTCTGCAGTCTAGACTTGAGGTGTCCAGGAAGTGCCTGAATTTTCGTAGCACATGCAGCCTACTGGTAGTACTCATTATGGGATGTGCTGGCCTAGGTTGTCCCAGGCTAAAGATTGCAAGGAATGTTCTTGAGTTGCCTTGCCAGACTCTTGCGTACCGAGGTTGGCCGTGCTGTTGTATCGCGATTTCCTGTGTGGTTGTCTTAAGTGTTGGTTGGACTAGTCTACAAAGTGCAAAACTCTCGGCATGCACCTTCTGCGCATGTCATGGAGCCAGGCAGAGGACCTTCCGCGTGGATTCGGCAGGTTGTACAGAAGCACCGATGCTCGGCTGCAGCAATCATGGCTCTGAATGCAGAACTTTAGAGAGAGACATGGAGCTGAGATCAACCCATCATGATGCGTGGAGCAGTGGAGTTTGTCTTGGTGAGGGCTGTGATAGGGAAGGTAAGTTGTGGCAGTCCATGCGGGCACGATGAGTGTCGCTTCTCGGGCAACGTCAATCCCACGTAAGAACCCATTGCCAGTGACGGCGAACGGTCTGCCAACTCGTTGTCTTGTTGCCCAAGATTTTCTGCGTGGCCGGCATGTGAGCCGACCTATTGCGTGGAGTCGGTGTGAACCGTCAGATCAACAGCCAGTACCTGACCACGTTCGAGACCAGGGACTCAAGGCGCGTCTGCTGTGCCATGCCGTGCCGTCGGAAGGTGAAGATATCTCCAATAGACGGTTCAGGCGTCTGAGTCTGTGTGCAGCGTGCAGCTCGGATGTTTGTAAGAGCTTTGCCGGTGTGTTGAGGATTGAGGCGACGCGTTGACTTTTTGTAGAGGCGTGCTGGCCATCGACTGTGGTGCATCGTTAGTGACTGTTTTCCAGCTATGTCTGAATTTACACCGCTTGCTAGAGGAGAGAGGGTAGGAGCGAGACCAGTAAGACTTCGGACATCAGCATGCCTTGCGAGGGTTTAAGATCAGAGGAAGGAGAAGTTGCAGAGATTTGCATACTTTATAGATGGACATGGGGAGGCAGGACTCGTGGGCCCTTGGAGGTAGCTGTAGAAGAGAAGACACACACGCCCACGCAGCGCTGGCCAATACCAGTGCCACACATGTGATGGTCACTCCCTTCAGCAGTCTTTGTGTCAGGGATTTTCGGGGTCGAGGTACTTTCTGGCACACCGAAGCGTTTTCACACTTTCTGTACAGCACATGTTGCCATTGTTCTTATGGCGATGTTTTTTCTAAATATGTGACAACAACAGTTTTTCTTCCTTCTTGGCTGCAAATGTATCAAGTTGATTTAAGCCGGCATGGTCTTTGTCTTGCAGTAGGTAGAATCGGCTCTGATTGTGAGCGACCCTGTGCTGGATTCGGTATGATGCGGAAGGGTTGGACATAGCCTTGAACGTTACCTTGAACCTCCTTCCTATGAAGCAACGCTTCGGAACATCTGGCAGCCTACGCACAAAGTGCTTTCCGAGCAGGATTGGCTTGCTCGACGTCACCCACTCCGGCCCCATCATCGCAATGGACAGCCCGGGTGCCTTGCGAGTTGGCAGTGCCTCAGCTGCCTTTGTGGAAATGCGTGGGCAAATGCACCCCCCCTGTGCTGAACTTCTAGTGAAAGGTGCCTTTGTTCTTCCGTACTCGAGCTCGAAGTCGGATCCTCAGACAACACAGTGCACGGGCTGCAAGGCCAAGTTGAATGCTTTGCTGTAGCGAGTTGCCAGATTGCCTGGGCATCGGGCTGATTTTTGCTTGTTCGCTTCGTGCCGCTGTTTAGCCATAGGCGTTGGAGCCATCGAAGACTTCGAAGCATTGTGCCGATAAAGCCTGACTCATGGAGCATCCGAGAACTTGGGGACGGCGGTGGTTAGTGTCATGAGCAGCGGAGGGTACATCGCTGGATTTGTGTTGACTTGTTACATACATGTATCATCTCAATAAACATCTGCTTGAGGTGTCCGAGCCGAAGGTGCATGATGGATCATTGCGCAGACATCACTGCATCACCTGTTTTCAATGTGCTGGTGTGTGTAAAGCCTAGAGCTTTAAAGTCCTGGTACATCCAGCCAGGTCTGGCGGCTGTGAGTGGTTGTAGTATGCGTGGTTCTCTGATTTCCCGTATTCTTGGTGGAGCCCGTGGTGGCCCCTACACCTTGCAGTGGCCTTGCAGCCTTGCAATAAACTGCACCCATCGCGGAATCACCCCGATTCCGCCACAAAACCGTTTGTTTCGGACAAGGCTGTACCCGCAAGCAGTACGTGGCGACAGAGACGCAAGGCGCTTGAATCCTATGGAGGCGCTGCTGTGCGGGCTGGGTTCTACTCATCATCTGCGAATCTGCTGTAGGGGTGGCTCTGTCGGAATTGATCAGTTCCACTGACTCGCGCATCCTTGCTTTTCACGGCGCCTCTTGGCATCATGTTTTCATGTTTGAAGCGTGTCAGTCTCGATTCGACAGATGGCTGCAGGATGGCACGGATGGAGTAATGGAGTTTGCCTTCGCATCGCCCTCAGAAATAGGAGAGCTTGGGGCTGAGGCCCTGAGCAGGTTTAATCTAGAGCATCCGATCTTTCCACCAGCTGGCGTCAGGAGGGCAGTCGTGTTCAGAGTTACACCTGCTTCGAACATGACTTGGCGCATGAGTAAGGCTTTAACCGCGGCATTGATTGACAGAAGTTTAACCGACGACACAGAGAGCAGCTTGTGGATTCGGTACACTGCGCCGCCAAGGGCACAACGAAACTCGCCCTTCCCATCGTAGCTTCCATCCAGATGTGCGGGCAGGACGAACCAAGCCAGCTCGTAACACTGCACGATGTCGCCGATGTGGACCCTGGCCACAGGGGTTAGGATGTCGAGCGCCAGGTTTCGGATGTGAAACGGGGGCCAGGATTCCATTAGGGTTTTGTGGACCGGGTTTCCATAGCGTTCTTTGTTGCGGGATGACTTGGGATGTCCTTCGAGTGGGGTTGGCAAGGTCAGTGGTTGCCTGTGGCATGCAAAGTGTACAATATCAGCGCGTGGGACAAGTCGGGTCTGTTGTCTGGACAAGAATTGGGGGGAGGGGGGATCCTTGTCTTGACGATGGTGACGCAGACCCCAGATCTCGCTAAGCTATTTGAGTTCCGTTTCGCCCTGCCTTAACTTATTGCGCGCAGCGCAGGCTTACAGAGTCACATTGTTAAAGGCTTGCTGGCCGAGCTGTATTGGGACCGGACCTTCCCTCATCTCGGAAGATCCTGCAAAGCCCAACTGGCCAACCCGTGAGGAAGTCTTCTTCCTTGGGGACGTGGTGATGCCTGAGGTCCCCTTCTTCTGTATATATATATATATATATATATCCATATGTCCATATATATATATATACGTATAAATAAAAAATATAAATATGAACATAAATAAAAATAAATAAACGAATAAATAAATAAATAAATATATATGTATATATATATATCTATGTGTGTGTATGATCATAGATATTCATATGAACAGCCGGGCTCCACGAAGTTGGCGTGACACGTGCCTGGCTTTGGGTCCGGCTTCCCGGCAACAAAAGCCCATGACCCGAATTGGTAGTTGTTCATGTTGTTGCTTGAACTTGCAATGTCTCTCCACGTAGTCTGTCGTCCACACCGAGACTAGTAATCACAGTCCGGGCCTTCGAATACAGAGACTTCAAGACCTGGTTTCTGGCAACATCGCCCCTGCTGACACAAAGTGTGCGTGAAGCACGCAGATGAGTCTAGTTTTTCCAAAGACAGGGGGAGAAAATCATTCCGCCTACCTGGCGGGGAAGTGAAAGCAAGAAGTCCAAACCTTGCAAGAGTGAGGTTCAGAAACCCAAACCCGAAACGTCAGGATGCTGGACCGGAGGGCATCCAGGCAGGACACATTTTTTTTCCGCTTACGGTTGAGCCCAAGCTTTAGGGTTATTACTCTACGCCTGAGACCCATCTGTGAAGCTGCAAGGGGATCAAAAGCTGAATCGTGAGCCAGAGGGTGCTCAGGTTGTTCAGGGTCAGAAACTCTGCCAGGCCTTCGAATAGCTCAATGGTTGGCAGCTCAACGGCGCTTTGAAGGAGGATGCAGTTGGCAAGAAGGGGTTGGGGATGTCTGCAGCACACCGTCGATCCCCGCCGTCGCTCGAAGGTTTGCGGAGTGCGTGCGCGCAGGAGCAGGACGATCCCAGCCTTGGGATGCTGTTGGCCCAATGGAGGTCTCCACATTCCCCCAGTGAGGGTGCGAGGTGCTCCCTGAATTTTCTGGGGCGGGGGGGGTGGCTGGTTAACCTCAAAGATTCGGCAGACCTTTGCAGACTCTTCCAGCCCCCCCGCCGCGCCCCCCCCCTTTTGTTATTGCCACCTTTGAAGGTGCCCTTGAGGGGGGCCCGAAGGTGCCTTTGAGGGCTGGTTCAACATGGCCGGAGCCTCCGACTGAATGGCACAATGTCTGAAATGGGCTCGCTGCACATTTCAGGTCTAGTCTGAAGGATGCAGTCTGGTGCAGGAGTTCTAAACTTGGGCTCCCACACAAGTCAGAGTGGTTTCAGAATTCATTGAATCTTTCAGCCTCAGCAGACTTCAGATTCTTGCCGCCGAAATTTTGGCCCAGCAATCTTCAGAAGATGGGCTTTTCCGAAACTTTTCCAGTATGGTTCCGTGCTCTCAAAGCCAGAGTGAAGTTCCACCATACGCGGGCCGTTGCATTACCCATTGCGGCTGGAACTGCTTGCCAGAGCCGAAGACTCCACCCAATTCATAGCTACCCGTAGTGCATAGGACGACCATGGACGACCCACATCGGTCAGAAAACAACGCCTCAGAGAGTTGATTTCCGGAAATCATGTTGTCCGAAACTCTGAACTACTCCTGAACTCTCTGCGTGATTTTTCGGTTCAGTCTCCACAAGGAGCACTTGCAACATAACCTAAGCAGCAAACGTGCATGCTTCATGGGGTTGGGAAAGTGTCAAACCAGAGCAGAGCTCGTTCTTCATGGGCAGCTTCAGAGCCGGGTACAACTTCCTTCAGCTGTACCCTTCATCCAACACACAACAAGAACCTGACGCACTACTACCACTAACGACGGGCTATCATCACCAACATTGTCCCTGCTATTTCTACATTACCTGCAGTCTGACTATCGTTTGGGGGTTTACGATAGTAAAGGGCCCCTAACATAGATCCCCCAAACAGTAGAGGATCCCCCTGAAGAACCAGGACCCCCCCCCAAAAAAGGCACCCCCTCACCTCGCAAACCCCCATCTGACTCTCAGAGATTCCGAGACTTTGGCCGGTGCTGGCCATGCTCCGGAGCCAGCTGCGGCTGCTCAGGTGGGAGACTGGCCTCACGGTATCAGAGGGTCTCAGAGGGTCTCAGAGGGTCTCAGAGGGTATCAGGGTATCAGGGTATCAGGGTATCAGGGTATCAGGGTATCAGGGTATCAGGGTTTCAGGGTTTGGGGCCTTCGGGGTCATCTTCGCCCTTCAGAAGGATTTCGATGGCAGTGTGAGTGGCGATCTGCAGCCTGTGTAGCCGACAAACACACTCCTTGCAGTTTGGCCCTATCTGTTTTCCTGGCAAGCGGCAACTTCAAAGGTGACCTGGACGCAAGGGAGGGCAATGGGACTGTGTAGATGCTGGGGGCATTTCGAAAATTTAAGGGTACCCCTACTATACCCCCAAAATGGCGTAATGCTTCTTGTAGGAACCCCCCCAAAAAGGTATCCTTGCTTTCGGAAACCGCAAATCTACTCTGATTTCCATGTCCAGTTAAGTCCAGTGGCTCTGCTATTTGCTGTCTCCACCACGGATCAGATTGCCAACGCCAGATTCCAGTCCAAGCTCAGAACGAGCCAAGCCAAACTTATCCTGAATGAGAATTCTTCGAATCCTTGTCTAGCCCGCGCCTTGTTTAACCTTGAGCCCTTCTCTAGCATGAGACCCCTGTCATGCAACACACAGTCTGACAACACGTAGCCCCTTGTCTAACATTAAGCCAGAATTTAACTCCTGTCAATCCGAAGCCCGTCAAAGACGAGACGTTTCGAGGAATTACTGTGCGCCTGCTCCCAATGTGTAGTAGGGGTGAACCAATATGTCGTAGAACGTTGAACAAGCTGCCCTAACCATCAAGAAGGTGTGTTGAAAGTCGTTGCTGAACATTCATCAGAAGTGAAACATAAAGCTACCACCAATTGTGCTGGCATTCTACTGTGAACCTCTGAACTGCACCTTGCACAACAACAGTGTTCCCTGACGCCGCAAATCCACCACAGCCAAGCACGCGAGACCCCAGGCTTTCGTCCCGGCAATGTCGCTGGATGGATTCTGTGGAATCATCCCAGTGCAGCCCGACGCAGGTATATGTTTTTTTTAGGATAAGGAAGTCGCACAGCTTCTGCTAGTCGTTTCGCATCCAGGTTGTGGGTTCCTGGGCTTGGGATCTCCCAATCTGGGGTGGATAGGTGTTTCCTACAAGATGGCATCTTCGATTTCGAGTCTTCTTTTTGTGTTTGCGAATCAAGGCCATATGGGATCCGCCCTTCTGTGCCACGAGGCAGGAGAAGGTTCTGGAGTTGGCAGACAGGGTGCACTGTACTGCAGCATGCTGCAGCCCAAAGCCCAGAGTGGGCCAAGGCGCCCACATCACCCCAAGCCCGAAAGTGAAGTCGCCTCGCGCCTCGTGCGAATCCAGTTGGGTCGTGCAGCTTTCGTCAGTTTCGCGTAAATCCCTCCATGCCATAGTACCCAGCAAAGAAAAAGAACTGGTACCTTCGCGACATCCGCGTCGATAGACAGATTTCGGCGCACCTGGATCGTGCAAGCATGGCCTTAATGGCAGACATTCAGGCCTGGCGGGCTCCAGGGTTCAGGGCAGAATCACCCCAAAGTTCTTCTCAGGGTTCTGGCCGTGGTCATGGACATCGTAGACGCAGCGCAGCAGGCCCTTCTCCCGTCCATGTCTGCCGAGGGACAGGAGCTGGGGTTCAAGCTTCGTGTGTCTGGAGCCGGGTACGCCAAACGATTACTTCAACCCACGGCACCCTCACCCTCAACCCTCAACCCTCAACCCTAAACCCTAAACTCTAAACTCTAAACCCTCAAACCTTCCCCCATTGCGCACCCCCCCCCCCCCCCCCCCCCCCCGCAGGTCATTGCCATGACCGCCGACTGTGCTGGTGAAATGGAAGATCCTGCGAACTGCGCGAACGACATCTTCGGCTTCCTCGTGCGCACGGCGGAAGGGCTTCGGTTTCCGTACGACGGGCTTGGGGATTGGGCAGACTATGTATATAAGTATATACTTACATATACTAAAGTGAGGGCCCTACATATATTAAAATACAACAGAATATAATGCAAGTATAATTTCGACTTAAAAATGAATGCAAAATACAAGCACACACACATATATCACATATATATATATATATATATATAATATGTTCTATGTTAACGGTCTCTCTCTCTCTCTCTATACATGAATAAGTAAATGAATAAATGAAAATTAAATAATTCATAAAACTATATAAGCATATATATATATGTATATATATATGTATATATATATAATATGTAATCTATCTATCTATCTGTCTATCTATCTATCTATATATATATATATGTATGTATGTATGTATGTATGTATGTATGTATGTATGTATGTATGTATGTATGTATGTATGTATGTATGTATGTATGTATAATATATATATATATATATATACATATATATACACGCACACATATGGAGCAAAGAGGCAATCTCTTGGGCTAATCTCTTGGGCTTGGCTTGACGCTGGGTTTCATGGGGGTTTTGAGCTGAGACCGACATGGTGGACATTGCGGATACCTCAGCGGCGATGGCGATGGCCTGCGGTGGCGAGATGACGTCCTGCGATGCCCGGCAGAAGTTGCAATTCGACCGTTTTTGTCGCAAAAAAGCTTCAAAGCAAAATGCACAGAGCAGAGCCGGTTGTGTGTGACCTGGGGTTCTGACTTAATCGTCGGCTCTGATCTGTTTCTTTCCCCTCCTGCGCGCAGTAGAGACCGTCTCAATATAGGTTCCGCTCAAGAACACAGCTCTTCGAACCATCCGCAGCAATCGAGGGCTAAAGCTCGACAGGCCCGAGTCGCCTGGGGAGTAAGGAAGTCGTGTGTGGCAGGCAGCTCTGGATAGCTTTGGGTGATCTCCGCCGGGTTCGGCGCAGCGTCTTCCCATGACGGCCGGCAGTGGTCGTGCAGAGCACGAGTACTGTTCACACAGCCTTGTTCTGCTTTTTGTGCATCAGAGATGCTGGCGTCAGCATGTGTACTGTGACAGGCGACGCGCGCGATATTCGCCCGTCTATTTTGTTGAAGTGAAGTTTTTTTGTGGACCTCTCTGGATGGTCGTCTGTAGCACATCTAAGGAGCAGGCAGTGGCTTGACGGCAGCAGTGCTACGTTGATGGAGTGCACGAAGTAGTGCATTGCGCTGGAATGTTGTCATGGATATGTCCGCAGACTAGTGCCAGCTCGACCGAACCATCTGTTCTTGCCGCAATTCGGAGATGTGCGCCCAAGGCCATGGACAATTGCGAGGATGGCTTTACGATCGCATCAGACCTGATCGGAGCTTCAGCGACTGGGGCTCTCCAACGCTGAGCTCCCGAAACCCTCTAAACCCTACACACGAAATCTTAAACCCTAGATGTCCACCTCCGTCTGCAAAGCCCAAGAAACACTTTTCGCAATTAACTTGTAGGTTTTAGGGTGCAGGGTTCAGGGTTCAGGGTTTAGGGTTTAGGGTTTAGGGTTTAGGGTTTAGGGTTTAGGGTTTAGGGTTTAGGGTTTAGGGTGACCACTTGAGGTCACGAGTCGGAGTAGCCCTGCGTTTTCAGGGTTTCAGGTTCGAGTCCTGTGGATGGGCGGGGAATTTTACAGCCCTGAAGAGACCCTTCACATCGTTGGAAGCTGACAAAAGAGAAGTTGGAAGATGGGTGGGCTCAGGGGGGCCCAGGCGCTCTGAAGACAGTTTCTTCTCTGTGCTCAGCCCAATTTGAG